CCAGGACCTGCTGCACCAACACGTTGGACCAGAACCTGCTGCACCAACACGTTGGACCAGAACCTGCTGCACTCGTCCTCTGATTTATTCTGTCAGTAACTCTTTAAAGAATCCATCTGAGGAACAAACTCTGACTTCATGTTGGTTTAATACCGACACATTATCAGAATATAATTTTATTATTTTAACACATCAGAGGCTGGAAGACAAAAACAGCTCTATGCTTTTATCAAATGGACATTTTGGGTTTTTAATTATCACTGGAGGTTTAAATTGATCAAAAAGGATTTACCTAAAATACTTTTTACCTTGTTTTTTAGTAAAGCTTTTCCTCCTATGATTTAAAAATTAAAATATTTACAAGGGTTAAAGTTCTCCAACTCCACGACAGGTGTCCGTCATCTTCGTGAGAGTGTGAATGGTAGTTTGTCTCATTTGTCTCCGTGATGTACTGGAGACCTGTCCAGGTGTCCCCCGCCTCTCGCACAATGACTGCTGGACGTGGACACCAGCGACCCGGTGAGAAGACGGGGTGAAAACATGATTTTGTTGTGGTTGTGTAAAGCCAGCCGGTCAGGGATAAACTGACCGTGCTTTCAACAAATAAAGACCCACAGTTGGTTTTACCCAATCAGAGCACAGCAAGGCGGGGCCAGCAGGGCGGGGCCTGCAGGGCGGGGCCTGCAGTGTAAGCAGCGTTCCACAGAGAGAGACCACGGGTGAAAGGACCGGTTCTGACATGGCTGTGAGACCCTCTCTGTTCCAAAGTGCTCACAGGTGGTCAGGATCACAGAGGTCCAGGTGGTCAGGATGTTTTATATATTTTATGGCACCTTCATTTATTGTACTTTATTGTTTGTTTAAAACAGGTCTCTCTTGTAAATGAGTCCTTGTGGCTCAATGAGACTAACCTGTATAAATAAAGGTTGAATGTATGAATGAAAAGAACCAGGCGGTCAGGATCCAAGTGGTCAGGATCCAAGTGGTCAGGATCCAAGTGGTCAGGATCCAAGCGGTCAGGATCCAAGTGGTCAGGATCACAGAGGTCCATGCAGCAGTCGGAGAACTCCTCCTGCACTGAGCTCCCGACCTCCCCCAGATTTTGTGTATCCCAAATCTAACTTCGTATTAAATGTGAATGTTTGGAGCATCATTATCGTACAGACACGTTCAGATTACGTGCATGACCAAAGTCCACTTCCTGCCTCTGTGGGTCTGGCTGTTTCTGCTGCTTCAGTCCTAATTCGAAGGATCAGCTGGTCTCTCAACAAAATTGATCAACTTCTCCCGACGGCAGTCAGGGTAAGGAGGACCCTCTTACCTCGACTGAAACAAATTGGATTCATGACAACTGTTTTTTTGCTGTTTGGCTGGTGAATTCTGGATTACCTATAAATTTGTGTGGACGTGTCGAAGCTCGGCAGCCTCGGACTGAATTATGTGCAGGAGCAGCTGTTATCAGGACTGTGGACTCTCTAGCAGCACACATGAAGGTGGGAAGAATCTTGGAGCTCTGGACGACGTCTGTTCATGCTGCTTTGCTGTGGTAAGTTCTTTTGACGCCTCAAACCGGGCCCTGTCCAGGACACGGAGTGAGAGATCTTTTTTAATTTTTTATACCGTCTCATGTTTTCTTCCCTTTTCTCATCCAAGCAAAATATTATTCTGAATAAGAATAAGAGGGCTGCGCTTGTTATAGTGGCAGCTTCGTGCACGCCGCCCATCGTTCAGACGACTGTATCTCGGTGCAACGACGATAAAGTTTATTCTGATTCTGAATATTAATGTATTAATATTACTGAGTAGTCACTCGGTGAACAGAACAGTTTGAATCAGAATGTTTGCTTTAATCCCTGTAAATAAACAGTTCTTTAATTCCATCAAGTAACAAGCAGAATTTTTTTCAAGTATTTATATACAACTTAATGAGTTGTGCTGTCTTCAGTTTAATTTTCCGTCTGTTTAGTGACTCGGGACAGATTTAAATTTAGGGGAAATGGCAGAAGTTTGACTCATTTAGACACGTGCAGTCTGAAGCTGATGAGCTGGATTATTAGATTATCTCAGATTAAGCTCCTACTGATCCGGTCTGCCTCCGAACCGACACCGGACAGCTTCACCGCAACCAGAACCACCAAATGAGTTTCTTAAATATCAGCCGCAGCAGCTAACAGTTAGCATCGGTGCAACCTGTTGTTGTTGTTGTTTACCTTGAAGCGGACCGTCATGGCGCTCTCACGTGCTCACAAAGTACCGGGAAGGCTCGGCCCTGGGTCAGGAAGTAACGAGCTGAAGATCGCAACGAGTTTATTATTTAAATAAAACTACTAAATTCACCCGATCGACATGCTAACTACCCGCTAACCCGAGCTAGCTGAATCAAACAAGCTGCCGCCGTTGCTATGGCAGCGCGGCGTCATGCGCAGGCGCGTTCGCCGATCTTGTTCGTGACGTCACTTTTTAGTTTTTAATTAGACACGCATTTTTAAAAATTATTTTATAGCTTTTACAACTAATGAAAATATTTATAAATACATAGATGCTAAACCTCTTGGTTCATATCATTAAAGAGTAGAACTGAATAAATAAAATAGACAAGCCTTTGTAAACACTTCATGAGAACAAAAACACCTATTTTACCACGTGCACACTATTGTTCCAGTGTGTCCAGAAGTGTTGATAGTCAAAGCATTAAACAAATATAAATGTTAAATGGACTGTACTTGTATAATGCCTTTCTATCTAATCAAGATATTCAAAGCTCTTTACAACAATCTGTCGTTTACCCATTCGTACAGCTCTATACTAGATCTGTACAAAGAATAATCAGAGGTTTATCACTTTCATACACCGATGGGACACATCGGACGCAATGAGGGTTCAGTGTCTTGCCCAGGGACACTTCAGCATGCAACTGCTAGTGGAATCGAACCCCCAACTCTCACATTGGAGGACGACTGCGCTAACCACTGAGCCACAGCTGCACCATATACGATCGTCTCGTGGCTTATTCATTTGTAGGTGTTTTTATGACAAATTTAGTTGTAACTAATTACTTTAAAACTCAAGTCTGTGCAGGTAAATAGGTGGGACTTGTAGACGAGCGTGAAGATTCTGGTGCCTAAAACAACATGGCCGCTCCTGTAAACCAGTGTCATGCACGTAGACGGGGACTAATCCGTATCTGTCCAAAAAACGACTCGGCAGTTTTCTGTTACAAAATTGCACCAGTTTTATTCATTTAAGGCTTCTTAGTTTTTACTTTACATTTGGCGTCACCCCCCCCGTGTCCCCCCCGCCGTGGGCTTCTGTAAATGGAAGAAACCAGTTCAGACCACTCGTCTTCCATCAACTGGGCCGACGGGCTGATGAACTGGTCCCTTGTACATTTCACTGGTCACCATGCCATACAGAGAAAAAAATATATTTTTCAAGAAACAGAAAACATTTTTTCTGGTTTTGTTTGCTTTAGGCTGCAGCTGCATTCATCACCTACGGCGAATAAACGTGTAAATACGGTTTAATGTAGGTTTAAGCAGACAAGTCGAGGTTATTATTGCACAACAATCTTTAATCCGTTACATTTCTACTGAAAGCGTTACAAACAGATCTGCTCAGAACTACATTACAAGGTCTTCCACTAATAAATGCTGAAACAGCCGCTGCTCTTAAGGCCTCCACATTCTTCAGACTGACCCCAGATCTGCCCGTCGTCCAGAACCAGCCCGAGCTGTAAAACTTCCATTTCACAGAAATCACGTGAAACGACGAATGCTGCTGCAGCCGGCGTGGAGGCCAGAAAGGTCTGAATGCAGCCGTGGATTTACTGTGAAGGCTCGTGGAAATGAACACGATTAAAACGAGGCACCGAGCAGTTTAGGCAAATACCAACGACGTGAAATTACATTTTATACGACAAATTTATCAAACCCGTGTTTTATTCAGTCAGGAAAGGGTCTTAAAAGTACCTGGTTCTTAAAAGATTCCCATTTTGATATAAATCTAGCTAAGAATTAGTTTGTGGATAAATTCAGTCAAGGAAAAGGTGCAGTGAGACTAAAACTTCACATCATCGTTAAGAACTCTTACAAATTAAAACTGATTTGTGACTTTTTGGTTAAATTACTGAACACGTCTTCACCTCTTTAAATCATCTGCGTGGCAGCAGGCCAGACAGCTGCTCCCCCCGCTCTTCTGCAGCTACGTGCTGAGAGGAAGAGTCTCTGTCGTGCATTTGTTTGAAACAGAACTGAACGCCGAGCGATACGTCTATTTTTAGGTTGGGAAAATGACGCTTGAACCTTTTGATCGAGCTGAGAGGAACGACGAAGCGAAGCGAGCAGCGTTCCTGTCCGATTAAAATAACTTTTTAGGGAGTTTCACTCTAATGTCCTGAGAGGTCTCTAGTTTTCACAGCACAGTCAGCCTGAATTCATTCTGTAACTTCAAGGTGAAATGTTTGAATCTGTTTTAGCTGTTTGATGCTCCATTTTCATTAACCAGAAAAAACAAAAGGATTTAAAAAGTAGGAAATAAGGTTTTATATTTAAAAAAACGAATCCAGTTTGTTCTGACTGATGAATACGATATTAGAAGAAAAGTTTTTCATATTTTTTGTGTTAATCAGTTACTCAAGAAGAATCCGATGAGGCTTTTATCTTGAAAACGTAGTTTAAATCACTCCAAAGTGTGTCGTTACACACCGACAACGCTCTAAACGTGTCCTTTTATAAATCTACAGTGTAGCTGCGGATTGTTTGCTCTTGTTTAGCTGAAAAAATAAAAATAAAGTTTCACATTTGGGTTTTTCTGCGCGCTCTGCTGCCCCTGGTGGCAGGACTGAAGCCAGCTGTTTGTAGTTCCTGTGCAGAAATAAACGCAGCATCTCGGATGCGCTTGTGACCTGGCTCCAAACAGACCTTTCATCTGGAAGCTGCTGCTCGGCATGCTAACTGTCACAGCGCCTCCTGGAGGTCCGACCGAGTACTGAAAGAAACATCGACATGCTACATGACTGAACGCACGGGAGGAGAACCAGAATACTGACAGCAGAACCGCAGCACACAGAGGTCCAACTGGCATCGCATTTCAACTCTACACCGACCCACTACTGAAGCTTAGAGAGGTGGTACTCCATCTGTCCTGTTGCTGTCCAGGTCCAAACCCGATTACACTCGGCGCTCCTCATCAGAGAGAGATGTCCCTTTTTTTTATAAACATCAAGGAGTAACGACTGTCTAATCCCTCGGTACCAAAAGTCAGGTTCTGTTTCACAGAAATGGTGATTTATAGTCGTCTAACCCAGTGGTTCCTAACACTGGTCCTTGAGGAACACCATCCTGCATGTTTTAGTTGTTTCCCTGCTCCAATACACCTGATTTAAATAAATGGGGGATCAACAGGCTTCTGCAGAACTTGATGAATTAATCATTGAATCAGGTGTTGGAGCAGGAAACAACTAAAACATGCAGGATGGTGTTCCTCAAGGACCCATGTTGGGAACCACTGGAACCGGCCAGCAAGTCTTCAGCGATCCAGTTAAAAAGTTGAACCAGCGGTTCCTGAACTTTTCACCCCCCACCCCCCCGAAAAAAAAAGAGTCTCGGAGGCTTCGTGAGTCCACCTGTTGCTTCTGGGTCGTGACGCTCAAGACGGAAATGATCTCAATGTGAAAAGAAGAGTTCATAAATTGAGCAACAACCGGTGTCAGAAGAGACCGAGACTCCGGTTTGTTGGATCAGAAGGTCAAGTTTGGTCAAATCTTCGACCAGCGGCTTGGTTAGAGGCCACTAACCCTCAAAGGAACGTTACGTCTTCAGAACACCAGAACCACAGGACCAGACAGGGACCGGACCAACAACAGAGCTCATCATTCAGTGCTTCCCTCTCAGATTAGTAAATAATAAAACATTAAAGTTAAGAGTTCATCGAGCAGAAATCATACTGGTGGTTCCTCACAGAAACTGGCCCGGTTCGCTGTGGTTACAGACCAGAAACACACCCAGGGTTAAGGCCCAGACCTGGTCCTGGACCAGAGCGAGTCTGCTGTCAAAAGGCAGCATGTCGGCCCGACGCAGCAGGCCCCGCTCAGCTCAGCTGGTGTGAAAACGTACAGTTTGTTTACGCAGCCAAACCGGGTTTCAAACGTCAGAGAACCAGGACGCCGTTTGTCGATCAGCGGCGCCGCTCTTCACCTGAACAGAACCGTGACATCATCACTTTATTTGACTTTGAATTTTCCTTTTCGTGATGAATCATTCTTTCTTTGTCAGGTTTTTCTAAACAAACGATCCGTTTTTAGCAACACAGCGAGCTGATGCAGCGACCTGCTGCGCCCCACAAGCCCCGCCCCCTCCCTCAAAAATATAAAGCCAACAACAGACAGTATAACGTTTCACACAGAATTATAAACTGTAATAATAATAATAATAATATTCACTGTAAGGATCCACAGGTTTAACCAGAGCCGTGCACAGACACAGGCAGCCATGTTGGACGTGGCATCACCATGGCAACCATGGCGCCAACATGGCCGACGTTGGATCTGCGCACGCGGCCGACTTCTGACTGCCGGACAACAAGTGAAACGAAAAAGAAATAAGAGGAAAGAAAAGTTTTAAAATCAAAAAAGCAAGAGGCCACTTCCCCAGCAGAGAGCATGATGGGAAATGAAGTTTAACTCTGGACAGCCCCGCAGAATCATCATCGTCATCTTCTATGTTTGGCTTTTATGTTTCCAAGGCAACACTCTTCACTGAAGGCGTGGGAAAAGTGGTCGTCATGGTAACAGGTTTAGAGGTGGCCGATGTTGATGATGTCGTGGTTGTGTTAAAGGGGTGGGGCCAGCTGGAAGATGTCCTGTGACTGGTTGGTTTGAAGGTTGTTGGTTGAGTTGAAACTGGAAAGAAGAGCCCGAGCGTGAGCGTCTGATGACACGGGTTCTTTTGTCTTGTTACGTCACTCACCGGTCATTAGAGGAGCTGACAGGTGGGCTTCTTACGGTCTTTTCCTGGAACCGGACTCTTCCTGTTAATCTGTCGGACGAGGTCGTAGAAGATCTGCGAACAGAAAAACACTCGTCACGACCTGAAGACTCGGGTGGAGTCCTGGTTCCACGCGTCGTGCGGCAACAATGAACCCGGACTCGCGGTCACCTCATTGACGTTGATCTTGCTCTTGGCCGAGGTCTCCAGGAAGGCGCAGGAGTTCCACTGACGGGCGAGGCCGATGCCCGACTCTTTGGCCACGACTCGCTCCACCTCCAGGTCGCATTTGTTCCCGACCAGGACCATGGGAACCTGCAGCACAGGTTACCGAAAACAAGTCGCTCTGCTGATTAACACTGAAATAAAGTTAACATTTTAAAAAATTATGTTTTGTATAAAAACATTAAATTAAAATAAAATCTGTTTATTTCTTAAAACAGATGAAAGTGCTGTTTTAAATGTTTTATCTGTAGATTTTTTTGTTTAAATATCCAAATACCGGTATAGTTTGAAATTTATCACTTGATCCCTTAAAGTTAATCTGTAGACGAGCATCTTTTATAAATCCCATTTATTTAGATTTTTTTTTTTCCACGTTTTGTTGGATTTAATTTTATTCCTATAAGTACTATATGTAATTGCTGAGCTAAAATTTAGCGTGGTTGTAGCTGAGAGTCGTCCTCAACAGGAACTCTGAGGGCTTGATTAAAACGACACTAAAGTTTCACTTTAAACAAGTTCAAGTAAAAAATACAAACAAAAGGGCCAAAAAGCTTCACTTTAAATGTGTTGGACGTAAAACAGCTGACCTGCAGGGGGCAGCACAGACAATAACGCATTTTAAAAGAAATGTTTTTGAAACCTTTCCAGTGGTACCCAACTCTGGTCCCTGAGGAACACCATCCTGCACGTTTTAGTTGTTTCTCTGCTCCAATACACCTGATTCAGGGATTTAATTACTTCCTCAAGTTCTGCAGAAACGTGCTAATTACCCGTTCATTAAAATCAGGTGTGTTGGAGCAAAGGAGCAACTAAATCATTCATGATGGTGTTCCTCAAGGACCAGTGTTGGGAACCACTGGTTTAGACACAAAGAATAAAACAAGTTTCCAATTAAAAATTAACCGAGCACAAAAAAAAAGACATTTTCTACCTGATAACTATCAGCTGAGAGTCTTAGCTCACCTTCATGTGTTTAATTAGGTTCTTAGTTTAACGCGTTTATCTACATTTATACAACTTCTGATGCAAACATTATTTTTCACTTAAATTTTAAGGTTTTTATTTTTTATTTCAAGCCACGACCGAGAACTCGTCTGTGCAGCTCGAGCAAATCTGTGGGTTTAAATTTAAAAACTGAACTTTTGTTGAACGTGTGTGTGTGTGTGTTCAGGGGGTCGTACGTCCTCGGTGTCCTTCACTCTGAGGATCTGCTCCCTCAGGTCCTGAAGGTCGTTGAAGGTGGACTGAGCTGTGATGGAGTAGACCAGCGCGAAACCCTGACCGTTCTTCATGTACAGGTCCCTCATGGCCGTGAACTGCTCCTACACACACACACACACACACACACACGTCAGGCAGAGACGCACACCTGGACCACGTCCTGTGGATCAGGTCTTACTGTTCCGGCTGTGTCCAGGATCTCCAGCATGCACTGCTGTCCGTCCACCTCCACTTGCTGAAAACACAAAGATCTGATCAAACATCTTCTCGTGTCGTTTGCACAAATTAAATCTTACAAAGAATCATTTCCTTTTGTTAAAAGGTAAACAAACGTGTTTGTTTCCTTTAGGTGAGACTCTTTAAACAAACAGGAAGTAGTCAGAGGTCACATGACGGCTGCTCCCAGTAACGTAGTCACAAAGGTTGATTAGCTGCAGCAGCCATCTTGAATCAAGTTAACTCGAGAAACTGAGTTGTGTGACGACTTTCTGAGAGTTTCATTAAAATAATAAACACATCCGTCTCAGCGGTCATGTGACTTCTCTTCTTGGTCATTAATAATGACAGTACTTCCTGTTTGGATGAAAAAGATGAGCTAACAAATTTTATGCTAATTCACCGCGACAAATCAGTTCAAATAAACTCCGGTTCAGTTTGTTTGATCAGACAAAACAAAGCAGGTCACAAACGCTGCAGCTCGTTTACGATCAGGAGGCGGAGCTTTGACAAATCTGCTGGGAGTTTTTGGTCCTACCTTCCTGTAGGAGTCCTCTATCGTCGGGTCGTATTTCTCCACGAAGATCCCCTGAACGAACTGGACAGTCTGGACAGAGACAGGCGGGACGGGGACAAGTGGGTCAGCGGCGCTAACGGAGCCGTCAGAGTGGAAATAATGTGAGTCGTGTCCGCAGCTCAGTTCGTGTTCGGCTGATTCACTGCTTTGATCTTTCTGGACCACTTTTAAGTTTTTGTTACTTTTATACTTTCTGAAATATTAAAACGTTCAATAAAAATAGATTCCCTGAGGAAAGATCTTCAGCTCCTTCAAAATCAACTTTGGTCTCTTGAATCTGCTTTAGCTGATTGTTGTTTTTTTTTTTGTCTTTTGATACTTTAGCCTTAAGTTAGCTTTTGATGTTTTAGCTTTTAGCCATCATTTTGATGCTTTAGCTGTTAACTATCCTTTTTATACTTTAGCTTAGCTATCATTTTGATACATTAGCTTTTAGCTATTATGATACTTTAGCTTTTAGCTATCAATTTGATGCTTTAGCTGTTAACTATCATTTTTATACTTTAGCTTTCACCTATCCTTTTGATGCTTTAGCCTTAAGTTAG